GAGTGGTGTAAGCAGTAGAAAATCCAAGGTGTGTCTGGCTGAATAGGAGAGTTACCCAATGGACTTGATCAACTTATAGGGTAGCAATTCTTTGTCAGGGATTTCTGAGAAAGTATCTCTCTATGGAGAGTGTGGACATGCTCTCTGGCACCTTGTGGAGAGGACAAAAGGCATCTGCTAATTAGATTTCAGAGACTGGGACTGCCCCAAAGTGGATCATTTGTTTTGCAACTGCCTCTTGGTGACTCCTGGAGAATGGGTTTAACTGATATGGGCTGACCCCAAGATGAATTGTTTGGCTTGGACTCTTGAGAGAATAGGCTTTTGTGGAAAGAACCAGACCTTTGTGCCGGTCTGTAAAAGGGAGCTGACATTGCCCTTGGCCTTTTCCCTTCCATTTCCACTTTTATTCTGGATAAATCCTTTAAAAACAAACAAACTTGGGGACTTAAATTACCAAACCACACCTCAAAAAGGCTGCTGTGAGGAGTCAACTTTTTCCTGTAGTAGCAGGTGGTGATGGTGGGAGTTTATCTTCCTCCTTCCCAGGAAGCATTAATGGTCGCTTAGAAGAGACCACGGAAAAGGAAAAAAATGTGTTTGCCTACTTGACATGAGAGTGGAGTTCCTAGATAATGGTACTAACCTCCCTTCCTCCTAGATAAAGGAGGGGTGATTTCCTAGGCAATAAAATCCAGAAATCTAGCCATCCTTAGGGAAGAAGGATTTCCTGAATAGTATCAGGCTCAGGATTGCCTTGTGAGTAACCCCAAGTTCAAGTGTTTGGAGATCCAACCTTCTATCCAGAAAAGGGGAATTTATTTATTTATTTATTTATTTTTTGAGGCAATGGGGTAAAGTGACTTGCCCAGGGTCACACAGCTAGTAAGTGTGAAGTGTCTGAGGCCAGATTTGAACTCAGGTCTTCCTGAATCCAGGGCCAGTGCTCTATCCATCTAGCTAGCTATCCCCAGAAGGGGAATTTCTTGAGCAGCTTGACTATTGTTAAGGGAAGAGAAGGCCTTCAGAAGGTATCAGAAGGTTGAATGTCTATAGGTGGCTTTGTATCTGGACAACTTTATGACACTGAGGAAAAGTGTCTAATTTTGACAAAGTTTACTTATAGTTCACATTCTTATACTGCTTTAATGTTTATAAAGCACTTTTCCCTTAACAATTTGGCGAGATAGGTAGCATACTATTATGATCATTTTACAGATGAGGAAACTGAGGATCAGAGAAGTGAAGTGTTTTTCTAATGGTCACATAGATAATGAATGTTGAAGTTGGGATTTGTGTCTGTGTCTAACAGACTTCATAAGTACAGGATGGGAGACTTATGGCTAGACAACAGTTGGTCTTCAAAAGACTCAGAGGTCTTGGCAGACTATAGACCCATTTGTCAATAGTATAATGTAGCAGCCAATATATATATATATAATATATATATATAACATATATATATATTATATATATGAATACCAATGTAGTGACCAGGATAAGAGAGGTGATAATCCCAATGTACTCTTTCCTGGTCAACCTATACCTGGAGTGCTGTTTGTTGTTCACTCATGTCTGACTCTTTTTGACCCAATGAACCATAGCATGCCAGGCCCTTTTATCCTTCACCATGTCTTGAAGTTTGTCCAAGTTCATATTTGTCATTTCCATGACAGTATCTATCCATCGTATCCTCTGCCATCCTCTTTTCCTTTTGCCTTTAATCTTTCCTAACATCAGGGGCTTTTCTAATGAGTACTGTCTTCTCATTATGTGACCAAAGGATTTAAGCTTCAGTTTCAGTATTTGACCTTCCAGTGAATAGCCTGAATTAATTTCTGTAAGTATTGAATGATTTGACCTCCTTGCTGTCCAAAAGACTCTCAAAAGTCTTCTCCAGCACCACAATTCAAAAGCATCGAATTCTGTGACATTCAGCTTTCCTTGTAGTCCAACTCTCACAGCCACACATTACTATTGGAAAAACCATAGTGTCAGACTGAAAATAAAGACCAAAGAGCCACAGAAATTATACAATTGTTAACTCTGAAAAGTAAAATAAAATAAACCAAAGAGCCATAGAAGTTATTACACCAACTGTCAACTCTGACCAAAGAGCCACAGAGGTTATAGCAAAATTTTTATACCAACTGTCAACTCTGAAAAATAAAACAGAATAAAATAAAACCAAAGAGCTCACAGAGGTTATGCGCAAAAATCTTTCTTTATTCTGTTGGAGGAGGGAAACTAGATATGAATGTTGGGGTCTTCTCCTAAAGGAGATCCCAAAGCAGCAAGGCTAAGCCTTGATACATATAGTAGTGGCTAGACAAAGAACCGAGCAGTGAGAAGTAGCTGTGGCAATGAGGGGTAACAGAAACAATGAGGCAAGTTTGATTCATAGTAGGGCTTCATGACTGGAACATGGTTCCTGTAGGTGCTTGTCCAAGCTCAGGGACCACTTGGGGCTGGTGTGAACCAATTCTGTGATTTAGCTACAGCAGAGTTCATCCAGAGGGTGAGCACAAAGGCTTGTTGTTATGCCAAGCTCAGGGCACAGCTTGCTTGCTGGACCTTAGCTCTGGAAAACAGGGTGGTCTCCTAATAGTAAAAAGAGAAGAATGAAAAGAGAGGGGTGGTCTTGGCATGGAGATCCTGACAATAGCTTTGACTATACAGACTTTTGTCAGCAGTCTCTGCTTTTTAGTATGCTGTCCGGATTTGCCATAGCTGTCCTCCAAGGAGCAAGTGTCTTTTAACTTCATGACCACGGTTACCATCTGCAGTAATCTTTTACTATGGAGTATTCTGGATATCACATTTTAGGAAGAGCATTGATGAGTTGGAAAATGTTCAGAGAAAAGCAACCAAGATGGTAAAATGCTTTCAGGTCATGGTATATAAGAATCAGTTGAAGAAACTGGGAATGTTTAGTCTAGAGAAGAAAAGACTTGATTGGGGGTAGGAGTGTGCTGGTAAATCTTTGGGAAAAAGTGTACACAGGACACATTCTTAAGTTTAATCTGAATTATTAGTATTTTTCTATATCACTTTAAGTCTAGACAATCAATAAAATAATAAATTAAATTTTGATTTGTAGCCTCTACTGATTTCCATAATGTAAATGCTCACACTGAAAATTTAACAATCACTCTTGGTAGCTGGTTCTGAGCTGCCACCTGGGGAGGAGAATACAATAAACAGCTTCAAGTATTGTGTGGCAACATTGTACAGTGGAAAGAGGGCTGGAGCTGGAATGAGAGAATCTAGATTTGGATCTTGATTCTGTCAATGGTCACTTGTGTGATCTTGGCCAAGTCATTTAATCTCTCTGGGCCTTAGTTTTTTCAACTGTAAAATAAACAGACTCTAAGGTCCCTTCTACCTTTAAATCTATGATCATATGAAGAGGATTGGTCTTGGCCCACTTAGCCCTGGAGGGCAGAAGTTAGGAACCGGTAATGGTGTATTATGAATAGTAATGAATGCAAGTTTCAGAGAAGTAGATTTAGGCTTGATATAAGAAAAAGCATCCTTATAATGAGGGCTGTCCAAAATGAAATGGGCAGTCTCAGGAGGGACTAGGCTCCCTCTTATTAGAGGTCTTTAAGCAGAAGCTAGATGACCACATGTTAGGTGTGTTGTAGAAAGGATTCCTGGGCAACTAACTGGTGTAGTGGATAGAGCACCCAGCCTGGAGTCAGGAAGACTTACCTTCATGAGTTCAAATCTTGCCTCAGATACTTACCAGCTGTGTGACCCTAGACAAGTCACTTAACCCTGTTTGCTTCAGTTTCCTCATCTGTAAAATGAACTATAGAAGGAAATGGCAAACCACTCCAGTATCTTTACCAAGAAAACCCCAAATGGGGTCATAGAGTCAGACACAACTGAAAACAACTGAACAACAACAGAAGGAATTCTTGTAGATGCACAGGTTGGGCTATAATGACCTCAGATGTTCCCTTGACTCAGGTTCTAGGATTCTGTGACCACCTAAATCCAGTCCTCTCTCTTCTATACCATGCTGCCTCTCAGAGCTTCCTGAAGGAGCCAGGCAGTGGAAGCTCTGTCCCAGAGTGAACCAAGTGAATCATCAGAATATTAAATCTGGGAAGATCCTTAGAGATCATCTAGTCCAAATCCTTCATTTTACAGATGAGGAAACTGAGGCCAAGAGAAGGGAAGTAACCTTCCTAGAATAGAATGTAAACTCCCCCAGGGCAAGTCAGCGCTTGACATTTCATAGACACTTAATAAATGTTTGTAGATTCATCATCTGAGGATAACAATAAATACGTTGCCCGGTTTCTTTTCTCCTGGTCTCATGTTTATTCCCCTGTGACACTTGAAAGTAATAAACATTTATTAGGGGTAAATAGATAGCCCCAACCAATGGAGTCCTGGATGTGAAATCAGGACCTGAGTTCAAATCCTGCTTCAGAAACTTACTAGTTTTGCGGCCCTGGGCAAGTCACTTAACCTTTCATGAAGCCTCAGGTTCCTATTCCATAAAATGGGAATAATAATAGCACCTACATTACAGGGTTTTAGGATGAATTAAAGTGCTTTGCAAAACTTAGAGTGTTATATAAATGTTAGCTATTATTATTATTACTTTTTATTTTAAAAATTATATAATTTAGTCTAGACTTTTTACCCCACTGTGAGTGTGGATAGGTAGCCCCAGAATTCATACCTCTTTAACTCAGTTTGCCTTCTGAGCTCTGAGCCTAGAACATGACCAGTGTAGTTCTGCTGTAGTTAAATGACCCCGGAGTGTCTTAACACCCTCCCTTTGACATTATCCCCAATTTATCCTGTATTTATCTTATTTATACATAGTTGTTTTGTATGTTGTCTCTCCACTAGCCAGTAAACTCCTTGAGAGCTCATTGAATGATTTTTTTTTAATCCTTAGAACATAGCATATTGCCTAGCACATAGCAGATATTTAATAAATGCAAATTGATTGACCATTAACCTGGTTGTCCTTCCAGATTGACTTGTATGCAGGGGCCCTCTTTGTGCACATCTGTCTGGGCTGGAATTTTTTTCTGTCTACTGGCATAACGTTGGTGATCACGGCACTTTACACTGTTGCAGGTAAGGGATGGAATGAAATAAATTGTGGATCTGCTGCAATGCAACCTTTTTTTCCATGCCAGGGACCCTCATCCAACCTAAAGCTCCCACTGCTCTAGGCACTCCCTTCCCTCTCCCCACCCCACTCGCCAGCACAAAGAGGAGGATGATACAGAGAAAACATAACTCCTGACTTGGTTCCTACCCTTTGCATGTAGGTTTACATATACCTCCAACCCTGTCTGAGAGAAATATAGTGCTCCCATACAAAAGGTGCAATATATTTCTGACAGTATTGGACTTGGAGTCAGGAACAATTGGTTCTGAATCGTGGCCACCTCTGACAGCTTATAGCTGCATGATCATGGAAACTTACTCAGTTTCCTCGTCTGTAAAAAGAGGAAAATAATAACAGTAATACTCTGCTCACAGGCTTGTCATGAGGTTTTTAGCAGTGTGAGAGCAGAGCAGCATGAGCAAAGGTACAAAGAAGGAAAAGTAGAGGGCATGTGCAGAGAATGATTGGAGTTGGGGGCCAGGGAAAGAAGTGAGGGGCAGAGACCAGAAAACAAAGCTCTGAGGAGTTTAGAGTTAGGTCAGAGCATGGAAGGCAGTGGATGCCAAGCTGAGGAGAATCATGACAACATGGATTACTCCACCTTGGGAGAGGGAATGTGGGTGATACACAGGCTTCCCTTGCTTCCTCCAGAGTATCTAGCCACCTGGCTCACCGTTCCATTCATTGATTCGTAATAACTGCCCTGTGTTGGCCTGAGTCTCATCTGCGCAGTCAGGCTGAGGGCCCAGTCCTGAGTGCTGTTACCCCTTTTCCCGTAGGTGGCCTGGCTGCTGTCATCTACACCGATGCACTGCAAACACTGATCATGATAGTCGGGGCAATCATCCTGACAATCAAAGGTAAGGAGTTGACCCCGACCCCATCTTGAGCTGTTTGTTCCCATGCTCAGCAATCACACACACAAGCCCAGGGTGGGACCCATTCCAACTTGAAGTCTTTTATTGGATTTAGGTTTTGCTTGTACAACTTTTCTGCATTTTTAAATACCAGGCGTGGGACACTGGAATCATAAATACAGGGTAACAGGTGAGGAGGGGAGTCATGCCCTGCAAGAATGGCCCCTGGTTCTTGAAAATGGCCCAGAACATTCGAATCTGCAGAATTGTGGGGGGTTGGTTGGGAGAACAAAGGCCTGCAGAGATGAGTTCAGGAGCAATTCAGCAGAAGACGCTGACGCTGACGGGCTCTCAAAGTCTTTTCCCATGTTTCCCCTTCCCTGGCCAGTTAGTTTTCTCAGCTCAAGCTCAGCCTCTGGCTATCAGAGTTGATTCAAGAAACACTGGCTGGTAGCTCAATGTTTTGCAATGAGATGCTGCCAAAGGTGGATTTTAAATAGTGCATTTAAGGCCAGAAGACAACCAGAGACTCTCCTCTGTTTAAAATAACAAAAATAAATTCTCCAGCGACAATAACACTTCACATGAGAAAAAGAGGTAGAGATAAGGGGGGATGGTTTGGACAGGGTGAAATTCATCCTGGCTTAGGCTACAGACAACAGAGATCTCAGGGAGAGGAACAAGATATCTGTTTAATCAATCTAAGAAGTACAGGGATGGTTGGCTCCACGTGCCTCTGAGAACAGGGCTGTATGTAGCACGATCGTGAATGTTCTTTCCCTGGAGAGAACGGCTGGCCCACTCACCCTCACTTGCTTCAACCCAATGGAGAAACCTCAAACCACAAGTCTCTGTTATTTAAATTAAATAGTATCTCCCTTAAGGCAGTAGCAGCCGGAACAGAAGGAATCTGTACCACCGTTACCGAATTGTAGCACAGTTGAAAAGTCAGGAGGTCCAGGTCTGAAGGGTCTCTAATGCTTCCTAGCTGTGTAACCTTGGGCAAGTGGCTTAACTTCTCTGAGCCAGTTTCCTTACCTGTGAAATGCGTGACAATAAATCTATACTGTACTATATAACTCACAAGATTGTAATGAAGAAAATGCTTTGTAAACTTGTAAGTGCTATATAAATGTAAGTTACTATTCATCGGGAAAAACTGGGTGAGGGGAGGGCAGTCTTCTCAGGTTAGAAAACTGAGGTTCAATTTTCAGAAAATAAACTTACTTCTATTTAGTAGCTGGACAACTGTCCTGACTGGCTACTTGCTTATCCTGCTTATCCCGGGAAAGGTCAATTCCCATGGTTCCCACGGTCCATTGTTGCAGCACTAACCAAATGACTTTGGAGGTAGAATCTTATTGACAGGGATACCCTGAGCTCTAGTGGACATTCATTTAGATTCCAAGACTACTAGCTGATTTCTAAGTCTCAACCTGCCTTATTTGGGGGGGGGGGGGGGGGCAGGGGAATGGTGCCTCACTCCTGACCTCTAACCTTCTCTATGCTTGATCACCTATCTTCCCACTAGGGAGTGCCTAACAGACTGCCAGTAGGAGCTGTCTACCCAAACATGCATGCCTAAACATATTACAGATAGATGTTTTTCAAGGAGACTCAAACTCTGGGAGTCGATTTATAGAGGGTGAATGGAAAATCAGACTCAAGGGTCATTTGTTTAGCGTCTTTCGGACAATAAGCTTTGGGATGAAACTCTTATTATGCCAGATAGGGTGAGAGGTGAAATTCTGAATGTAGGTAAGGCTGTGGTTATGCCTTTAGACAGATGAACTTTCCAAAAGATTTTCTGGCCCTTAACCAAATGCAGAGAGTCATTCATATGCATTTTTCAGGAAGGCAGGCATGGAGCTAAGGAGGGGAGATGGGGGTGTAACGCCCCAGCTGAGCCTCTAAGTTTGAAATTCTGAGGACGCATGGGTGGAGTGATAAAGTAACGGTGCTGATTCTTTAGCAAACAGTGTTGTTTAGTCCTATTCAACTCTTCATGACCCTGTGGGCCATAGCATGCCAATGCTGTCCATGGGATTTTCTTGGCAAACATACTGGCGTGGTTGGCCACTTACTTCTCCAGTGGATTAAGGCAAATAGAGGTAAGTGACTTGCCCACAGACACACAGCTAGTGTCTGAGGCCAGATTCGAACTCAGGTTTTCCTGACTCCAGACCCAACACTCTATCCACTGAGCCATCTAGCTGCCTCCTTAGCAAACATGTTAGAACTTAACCATGACAGCAGGATGCTCATGCAGCCCTGGCTTAAGCATCAGATGCCCTTAGCTCAGATTTCTAGCTGTCAAGGTAACCAGGATGCTGAAAGAACCTGGAGTCCATGTCATTTGAAGACAGGTTGAAGGAACCGGAGATCTCTAGTGTGAAGAAGAGAAAGCTTGGAGCAAACGACATGACAACTGTCTTCAAGTAATTGAAGGGCTGTCCCACGAGAGAATTTGGCCTGTACAGTTTGGCTCCAGAGAGCAGAAGCAGTCGCAATGAGTGGCAGTACCTGAAGCAAATTTAGGCTAGGTATTAGGGAAAAAACCTTCCTACCAATGTGAATTATCCAGAAGTAGAATGGCCTGCCTTGAGAGGCAGTGAGTTCCTTTTCAAGCAAAAGCTCAAAGTTGGGTATATTGTTTTTTATTCAAGCAAGGGCAGAACTAGTTGGCTGCTGACATCCCTTTCAATAGGAAACTCTATGATTCTATGACCTTGGGCAAGTCACATCACATCTACGGCTTTTGTCTCCTTATCTGTAAAAGGAAGGTCAAACCTGTAGTCTCTTCAACTGAACTTTGCACGGCATCATTTCTAATTTTCTGCTGTCCTCTAGATGCACTCCAGGTTTTCAGCATACCTCCTAAAATGGATCTAGAATTGGCCATAGTGTGGTATGACCCCTGTAGAATACAGTGATAATATTATTTTCTCTTATGTGGAGCAGCAGCGCAGACTGTGATCACATTCCCTTTTCAATCTGCTTCTTCACATTACTGATTCACACTGAGCCTACAGGCTTGAGAGGAAGTGATTTCTGGAAGATGTGTTGGGGTTAGGAAGAAAAGCATTTCAGATATAGGGAACGGTGTTAGCAATTCATGGGGGCAAGAAAGTGTGGAGTGGATGGAGGGATGTCAAGTTTGGCTAAAGTGTAGAGCACACAGTATGACAAGGCTGGAAAAACAAGGTGGTGCCAGATTGTAGAGGGCCAAGCAATGGACTCAGAACCTCTATAGTACATAACAGGGAGTTTTGAAGGGTTTTGAGCAGAGGAGCAGTGGGATCAGATTTCTAGGTAAGAAAAGATGTCTGATGGTAGTGTAGTTGGTCGGAGGTGATGAAGTGAGTGGATTTGGGAACAGCTATTAGGTTACCTTTCAGGAGGGTGTTAATGATGATAGTCTAAGCTTGTAGCAGGGGAAATGGGGGAGGGAGGAGGGAGAAAAAAGAAACATTTCTGAGGTAGAATCAATGGGAGTGATTGGGAGTGTTTCAAGGGAGAAGTAAGGATAAAAGATAGCATCCAAGTTTTAAACACAGGACACTGAGTGACACTCACAGAAATAATAATAATATCATTAAGAATAGCAAGTTGGAGGGAGAGTCAGAGGTTCTTTTTTCAAATCCTGGCTCAGCTACTTATTACATATAGGACAATGGGCAGGGAACTTCTGTTCTTGTCTGTAAATCGAAGGTATTGACCAAGTTAATGTCTAAGGTCCCCAGTTCTCATCTATGATCCTACAACCAGATAATGCCCCAAATCTATGACAGTTTTAAACTGTATTCTATGGTCAGCCCTGTAATGACTACCAGAGCCTGAAGCTCATTCTTTGAAATACTCATTATGGCTGCAAATCTTTGCTCTTGGAGGGAAGATCTGATTCTTCAAAAGGGCCAAAAGTTACTTGGGGGAGTGTCTAGGGATCCTATTTGGGGTAGGAAACACAAAAATTTATGAGAGACTTGAAAACTGGTCTCCTCTGGCTCAGACATACCTGGCTCTGAAGCAAACTCCCAAAGATGTCTGCAAAATGGCAAAAGGAAGAGTACTGCATTTGGGGTCAAAAGACCCAGGTTTCAATGTTAACTCAGCTACTTCACTATATAGCCTGAGAGATCTTGGTCAAATCACTTCGCTCTTCTGGGATTCAGTCTCCTTATGGGTAAAGTGAGGGTTTGGAACAGCTGACTCTAAGGTCCCTTCCCCCTATGAGCCTCCATCCTAAGCAGCGGCATTGAAATACATATTTAACATACTGCTTTGAAGGGGGAGAGGCATTGCTCATTTGAAGGGATAAATTACCCATATCCTTGTTTAAAAAAGGAAATATATGAAAAGCGGTCTTCAAGTTGGAGGTCATAGGGAGTTGCCTAAACTTCCAAGGACCATTGAGTTCTGCTTCCTTGCCCTCTTTTTCAGTCAGGGATGAATGTGTAAAGATTGAGGAGTGTAGGAATTGGGGGAGGAGGAAGTTAGAGCTATGTGAAACAACCTACTTGTTGGGAACTATTTCTAGGGAGAGTTTCCTAGCCTGCAGCCAGTTTGGCCTTGGTCCCTCCTCCCTGGCCCTTACCCAGGCCCATGGGCTTGTCTCTTGCCTCAGTTTGACTGCCTGACTACCATGAAGATATTTTATCCCTTCAGCAATGAGTACTTTGGTCCTAGGCACTGAGATAGGGTCAGAGAAAGGGGATAATTCTGCCACTTGGTGCCATCTTTGCTATTGTCCCCTCAAAGCTGAGGCCCAACTCGGGGGGGGGTGACTCTGGACTTGTTCCTGTCTGAATAGGTAATCATAGAGATTAGGCCCAGTTTTTCTGAAGAATGTAGGGGAAAGCAATTGGCCAACAGTAATCAATATTTCCTCTGATTATCCCCCATTCCCTTACCCCTCCAAAGGGAAAATCATCTGTTCCCTGGAGTCAGGGCAGGCCCCAGAAATGTTGGTCTCCCTCCTTTCTCCATTGCAGGGCAGATAGGACAGATCCAGGCAATTTGGAGGGTTAGGATGAAGACAGAATAAATCAAGGGGTCACTTTCCTTTCTTTCTGTGGTAGCAACTAGATTATTAGTTCTGCATTCAGGTTTCTGGCAGGTGAGCCTAAGATATATTTTCCCACACTGTTTCAAGGGATGTCAAGGCAGTCCCACATATTCAAGGACTGAAGAGTGGAATGAATGGGGGGGCAGGCAGCCATGGGACAAGGGGTTTCAATAGAGGCCTATGTAAAAGAGGTAATCATGATCACTTAAGTAAGGTGTAGGACAAATCGTCTCCCTAAGGGAAAAGTCTTAGCATTGGCCATTAGAAGATGATTGAGTAGACATTGTATATGCTAGAAATAGCATTGAACAGCGAATCAGGAGACAGAATCATAGACTAATAGTCTAAGTCTAATGGCTAGAAGATTTTAGAGATTAGCCCCAAATCTTCATTTTACATGAGGGAAATCAAGGCCTTGGAAAAGTGAAATGACTTATTTACCTCATGATTTTGTTGTGGTATTGCCTTTCTTTATATTCCCAGTGCTTAGCCCAGTGCCTGGCACATAGTAGGTCCTTAATAAATGCTAGCTAACTGACTCATCCAAAGTTAGACAACTAGCTAGTAAGTAGAGCAGGATTAGAACCAAGGTCTCCTGACTCTTGGTCCTCTACACCATCTTAAAAAAAGGAAAACTGTTTCCCTGATTAGCTTCAGTCTTCTCACGTGTAAAATGAAGGGATAGAACTCTTCTCTAAAAGGGAGATTACCATCTAGCTAATTCTCTAAGTACAAAGCAAAGCCAGAGGCCCCACAACAAGCAACGATCCCAGCATGGTACTATTGGACACAGAAGTTTAATACTTTAGACCTCACCATGGGATCCTTGGTTTTGAACAAAAACACAAGTTTTGCTTTTTTACAGCACAAAACTGAGTAAAGAAATCTTCACTCTGAGATTGTTGGGGTAACAAGTCCAGCAAGATCCCTCCAGGGTAACAGGAATCTAGTAGTTCCAATGTGCAAAATTATCTTTTAATAATTTTGTTATCTTTAAATAAAAATAAAATACAATCATATAATTAGATCTTTTTTTTTTTCGCTCCCCACTCCTTTCCAGACATATGTTTGGAAAAGGTGAAGTTGTAAGAAAATCTTAAAAATTGTTGCACCAGAAAGTCAGTTGCAGGAGGGAGGGGAGTCACTGGCCAGTCCAACCGGCCAATCTCTCCCTCCATTGCTTCTTCTTTTCCCTTGCTCCCCCCTCCCCAATTTCCCATTTTCCCTTTCAGCTTTTGACCAAATCGGGGGTTATAGCCAGTTGGAGACAGCTTACTTACATGCAGTGCCAAACAAGACAATCCCTAACACAACATGCCACCTGCCCCGGGCTGACGCCATGCACATGTTCCGAGATGCCCACACTGCAGACCTCCCATGGACTGGTATGACCTTCGGTCTGACCATCATGGCCACTTGGTATTGGTGCACCGACCAGGTAAATGTAAACATCATATTCCCTCCTCCTGCCCCTTATGTCATATGTACAACAAATGCAGTTCCCCCATCTGAGGTCCAAGCAGCATGGTTTAAGAATACTTGCATTATCAGAGTCTAGTCTCAAGAACTCCAAGGAAAGGAGCAAGCAGCTCTGGGCTGAGCAAGGTGAGGAAGAGTGGGCTTGCTTTTAATCCTTGTGGCTTGTGGGTCCCGGGGCCCTCCGTCGGAAATCAGCAGAAGCCCACGGGCCCCCACCTGCCCTATTCCTGAGGATTTTGTTCTGTGATAGTTTGGAAAGGGGGATACCAAATGGGGTTGACAGCTCCTCCCGGCTCCCACTCTCAGCTGGGCTGCCCGGGGTTCTAGCAGTCCTCAGGTTCCTGCCGTCTGGGGGTCCACCTTTGGTCTGCCAATAGCGTGAGCCCACTGTTGCTGGCCCGGACTTTTTGGCGGGGTGCTGGAGGCCATCAGCTGCACGGATGCCGTCCCGTCGGTATTTGGGAAGCTCTGGGTTCTTTGCTGACTGCTGGAAGCTGCCTTTGTCCCTGGTCCCAGGGGCAGGTCTCTTATCCCCATAACGGTGGAACTGTTGGCCCTGGGCAGGGGTAGAGAGTAGGGACAAGAGAGAAAGTTTATAAGAAAATTCAGGGAAGGCAAGAAAACTCCCTTCAACCTAAAAGACTTTGTGATGAGTGGAAAAGCACTGGCTTTGGAGTCAGAAGATCAGAGTTCACGTTTTACCTCTCATGCTTAAGAGCTATGTGACCCTGGGCAAGTCACAAAACCTATTGGAGTCTCAGTTTCCTTATCTGTAAAATGGAGGCACTACCACCACTCTCAAAGTGTCATCTTGAGGAAAGTGTTTTGTAAACTTTAAGTGTATTGTTATTTTTACTATTAAGGAAAAGTGACTGGGCCTTTTGTTTCTATTCAAGGCTAGAATTCTTAATATTTTTTGTGTCATGGACTCTGGCCAGGAGTTTGGTGAAGCCTATGGACCCCTTCTCAGAATAATGTTTTTTAATGCATAAGTTTAAAAAGGAAGCTAAGTAAGCTGAAATGCAGTTATTAAAAACTTTTTTTTAAGTTGATGGACCCTGCTTAAGAGCCCTTGATTTTATGGATTTGAATCTCAGCTCTGTGGCCTCAGGCAACTTAACCTCCAGCTGTCTCAGTTTCTTGTGGCTGTAAAATGGGGGTTGGGGTGATTGGGAGGAAGGAGATCCAGATTATATTTTCAGCTCTGCTACTAAGTAGCTGTGTGACTTTGGGCAAGTCACTTTCCCTCTTTGGGCCTCAGTTTCCCAATAAGTAAAATTAGATGAATGTGATGAAGATGATGTGATAAGATGAATATGATGTGATAAGATGAAGAAAATGTGATAAGATGAAGATGAAATGAATGTTAAAGTCCCTTCAGGCTCTAATACTTTCTGTCTCCAATTTTCACATTTGGCTACTTTTGATCAGTTTTTCCTGAATGTGTGAGGGTAACAATGACTAGATCTGGCAGCAGCACTGACTGCAAAAAAAAAAAAAAAAAAATCAGTTTCCAAGGTAGGGTAGAGATTAATCTAGGTGGATAGGAGATGGACCAGGAGGGGAAAGTGGTTCTCCTGGCCAACGTGAGGTCTATGAAATGAGAAAATGGTGGCACGAGCAGTTGATGTGTGGGGGTTACTAGTCTGATTCAAACTTTTCCTAGAGGTCACTGGACTCATTTCACAACATGCCTCATTTTGTCATGTGCCTTAAGATCCTTGGCCTCAATCTGGTCTCCCTAAGTTTAATGTCATTCAGGTGATTTTCCCATGGAGGCCAAATGAGTCAGCATTCCTTCAGGGTTGACTACCTGGCCAGCACAAGGGAGGACTAGTTCGGAGACAGAAAGGCCCACCCACTGGTACCAGTTCTAGTCCTCTGCAAATCTGAAGGCGTATGGGGCCCAGAATGACTGACTCCATCTGGCTGGGACTAGGGCAGCTCACTTATTCCTCCCAACCTTGGACTTCAGAATTGAAGGCCTAGAGTAAGAATGAGGTGTCAAAGGTGAAAGAATATTGGTCTCAGGTTAATCATAGATTCAGAGATTGAGAGAATCCCAGAATCCCAGAGCTGGGCAGGATCATCTAGTCCTGGGATTCTTAAGCTCTTTTATGTCTTGGCAGAAATCTGGTAAAACCTATGTACTCCTTCTTGGAACAATATTTTTAAATGCAAAAAATAAAATACAAAGGATTACAAAGGAAACCAATGATATTGAAATGTAGTCATCAAATTTTTTTTTAAAAAGTTTACAGTTCCCAAGTTAATAAACCCTGATCCAGTCCGACCTCCCCATTGTACAGGTAAGGACATGCAGCCATCAAGATGGGAGCTGGCTTGCCCAAGGTCACAAAGTGAGTTGGACAAAGGCCAGGACTAGAACTTGGGTCTAGTATGTATTCTGTATGCACTCTAGCTAAGCTGAACCTCATGGTCCAGGCCTATGCAATTTTCACCAGCTCTTCTTTCTCTAAGATCCTCCTTGTTAGAGGCCAGCCTCCCTCCCCAGGGTTCAGAAGGACTGAGTACTTCCTAGCACAGGTATAACCCAAAGGCTATAAACTTCCATACCACCTGATGTTATTGAACACCATGCCAACAGTTTGGCTAACAGAGACATAAGCCAAGGTAGCGGCAAAGAGGCGTTGGTAGCCTGGGAGGCAGGGAGAGGAGGAGAGCAAACACTTGGATGAGATGTGTACATTCAAACACTTGGGCAAATGCCTAATGTTCCAAACATTCTAATTTTTCCTAGTCAACCAGGCTAGAAACAATCACAAAACAGAAGGTGTGTTGACATTTCCTGTGTGTTTTCTGACATCTGGATCTCCACCTGACCTTAGCCCCTTGGGGTAATAATAGTAACTGCTTACATTTATATAACTCTTGGCAGTTTACAAGTAACTTTATCTCACTGACCTGTGTGTGACAGTATAAAGGGCACTGAACTGCAATCACATAGGTCTGAATTTGAATCCTCTGTGACATATTACTATCTTCTCAGGGTATGTGTGATGGTGGGTAAGTCAATTAACCTCTCCGGGTCTTGATTTCCTCATCTATAAAATGGGGGAAGGTCCCTTGCTCTATAACTCAAGGATCATGCACTACCTACCAACCTACATACTTGTCTTTTACAGACAAGACACCTGGGGTTCAGAAAGGCAAAGGGGTCAAGCTGCAGCTTGAACCCTGGCCTCCTGACTCCAAATTCAGTGCTCTTTCCACTATACCACACTGTTGAGGTAGTACTTTGACAGATGTTTTTTAAAATCTCTCACTGCAACTCTGAGGTAAGCAGGGCAGATCACATTAGAAAGCAATAACACATAATGGATGACGACTTGGGAGTCAGAGTTCAACTCCTACCTCAGATACTTAATTGCCAGGTGTCCCTGGGCAAGTCACTTAACTTTTCCCATCCTCAAGGTCCTCATCTATAAAATGGGGATAATAGTGTGACCCTGGGCAAGTCACTTAATCCCGATTGCCTCACCAAAAAGCAAAAAATTAAAAATAAAAATAAAGTGGGGATAATAACAACACCTACCATGCAGGGTTGTTGTGAGGATCAAATGAGATCCTATGTGGAAAGCACTTTGCAAACCTTAAAAGTGCTTTGTAAATGTTAGCCCTTATTATCATCTCCATTTTATTGACAAGGACACTGAGGCTCAGAGGGATGAAGCCAAAGCTACACAGTTAATAAGTAGCATTTTAGGGATTTAAACTGAGGCCTGTGACTCCCAAGTTCTATTCTTTCTACTACATCACATCGCCTTAGACCAGTGATTTTCATAATATAGTCTCGGGAACCTAAGGAGTTGCCAAATCCTTTTGCGGGGTGGGGGGGGGGGAACCATGAAGCAAAATTATTCTCATAATAATATTAAGACATTATCCGCCTACTAAAATACTCCCCCCCTTTTCTATGATATATCTGAGGCCAGATTTCCTTCATAAACTTCAATCAAAATGACAGACTGCAACAGACTGAATGCAAAAGTGGAAATGAGAATCCACTTGTCTTCTATTAAGCCAGACATGAAGGGGATTTGCAAAAACATATAAAACAATACCACTCTTTTACCTAAACATGTTTGTCTTGGAAAATAGTTATTTTTCATAAAATATTATTTATGTTAACATGTAACAAGCTTATTATTAAATGATTAATGATTTTAAATAATTATCAGTTAATGTCTAATATGAAAATAGGCACAACCCACAAAGATTAAACTCTTTGAAATCCTTAATAATTTATGAGTGTAAAGGAGTCCAGAGCCCTAAAAGTTTGAGAACGGCTTTCTTAGAAATTAGCCATCACTTCCCACTTGTTTCCTTACATACACACACTTCTGATATACTCTCAGCAAACATAGTCACAACCACCTGAGACTGTGTCCTTCCTCACTGGTAAATTGAAACCTGAATCTGACAGAGGCTCACCTCCCTAGCAACTTGGAATACTGTCATTTCCCATAGGCCCAGGGTAGCATTTTTGGTGAGTTTCTTCTCCTTTAGTTTCCCTCGATTTCTCTAGGGTACTAGCCAACCCAAACTCATCCTCTGAAATTTCTGTTTCTGAGATGATTTAAGGTTACTGGGCTGGGCCCCTGATCTTTGGGACCAGTGCTCTTGAGGAGAAATGTGTTAATACCCTAGTTGAAGGAGTAGGCTGGTGGTGGAGTAGGTGGCTAGAGAGTTCTCCTTGAATACTGGACCCAAAGAACTGAGCCCAAAGAAGGATAATTACTAAATTAGCCAATGGCTAGGAAAACCCAAAGGGGCTGACAAATGATGCTCTTTCAGTGTTGCTCATCAAAAAGATGAAGTTCTCTGATCCCAGAAGATGATTTGACCTGAGAGCTTGTTATTCCAAACCTCCTATTTTGGTGAGCTAAGAGCACGGGTGTAAAGACTTAAAGAATATTAGACTTCACAGTTAAAGTAAAGGAACTGATTGTTTAACAAACAGAACAGGAATTTTACAACCAAATGAGCATCATCCTTCACCACAGGCTACTGAAGAGGTTTTTCTCTTATTCTAATACGCAGCCTTTGCTCAGAAAGTACCTGAAAACCAGTCTGGGGGAAGCTATTAATGGGAGCATTCTTCCCGGGGACTAAATCTCTGAGGGTACATCTGATTTGGGGACTCAGCTAAGTCTTTTAGAGACCAAGGCGAGAGACTACGATGGGTATCTGTTATCTGAGGTAAAAAAAATAATAATAATAAAAATGAGGCATGACCATGAAGTCACAAGACTGGGTTTCTGTTGTGAAGCCCTGAAGGCTGTTCACAAAGACAAGTTTCCACTATTTCCTGGCAGCAACATTTGGACAAGTGCAGCTTCCCTAAGGGGCTGCTTTGATAGAAAACATCCATTTATATGTAAAAGTTGTGGCCTGTTTGTGTCCTTCCCTAGGAGGTTCCCCCCAGGGCTGCCAGAGATGGCAGGCCCCAGAGCACCATTTATTCTGAACACAGAAGTGATGGCACTGTGCTCACTCTTATGCATGCTGAGGCCTCTGTGGGTGCAGGAAAAGTCACCCCGTGGCCAATCCACTGAAGGCTGCAGTGGGCTTTTGGAAGCTCAAGGACAATATCTGTGATGTTAGTGTGAGGAGGAGGGGGTGGGGCTAGAGGGAGCAGACTTCTGATTCTTAGGATGGAGCTCCACATTTTTCTTCCTCTGTCTGGGTGAGTCTTCCACAAGGGCTAAGTCCTCCGGGTCAGTCTATATCTGGCAACATCCTTTTCTCCTCTATTTTTTTTTCCCAGGTCATAGTACAGAGGTCCCTTTCTGCCAGGAACCTGAACCATGCCAGAGCAGGCTCCATCCTTGCCAGTTACCTAAAGATGCTGCCCATGGGCCTCATCATTATGCCAGGCATGATTAGTCGGGCACTATACCCAGGTATGGCTCCCTTTTCCTACTGCAACTCTGCCCTGCTAGGTGGTGGTGACTAGTACCAGACTGGAGACACGGGGTGAAGGTATGGAAGCGGAAGACCTTGGACGTGGGTAGGACAATAGACTCTGCAGGTGGTTTAACTGTGTGATTGTGGGTGTGCCACTTCCCTTCTCAGCCTCAGTATTTTTACTTCTCTAATGGAGGTGAAGAAAGAAATCAGAAGGAATGATAAAGATAGGTGGGAAGCCAAAACAGCCCCTTTTAAATGGTTCTCTTTAAGATGAGGCAGCTTTAAATGAGATGTCCCTTAAACATTTGAGGAACATATGAACTCCCCAGACCAGCTCTCCCTTGGGGATGTGAGGAAGGAAAGGTCTGAGGAAACTGGCAGATGGATTCTAAGCTGAGAACTTTGAAAAAAGGGCCTTCTCCTCATGCACCTGAAGACACCATCCTACCTGGGTTGCAGGGCTAGCACAAGCCTTGTTGCTGTCACGCTGGGGACCCCTTCCCAACACATGTTTAATTTCCTCTTTGCCGTTGTTTCTCTTCCTGCCATACTCATCCTCTACCCCTGAGCTCTGCAGCCACTGGGGGTTCCTCAGGGGACTCATGAATGTTCCCCGGCTCACGTGGGGCTCACTCAGTTTTCTGTATAGCGGTTGTATATGACCAGCCCCATTGAGGACGTGCTCTGAGTGGCGCCTCCGGAGTTGGGCGAAGTTGTCCCTCACCTCAAAGTACTCGTCTGACACAGAGGATGCTGTGGACTGTCGGTGGCGGCTGTTGGTGGAGCCACCTGAGAAACTGTCCTGGTCACTGATGGTCACATAGTCATCGTCATCATCCTCATCCTCTTCTATATTGAGCCCATTGGGGGTCCCTGGAGAGGGTGGGTCCTGGCCCTCCTGGGACATGGACAGATGCCGGAGAAGCTTGTGGTGCCCAGAGTTCTCATGAGGTCTGTAGGTGGTACCATTTGATGGCCCTTCTTGCTGGACTGACTCCTCTTCCTTGGGTCCCCCAGGCTGGCAGCCTAAGCCACCATCATATGAGTTGCCCTTGGTGAGAAAGTCTGTGACATGGACTGTCCTGGGCTTAGGGACTGGGGGTTTGATCTCTGTGTCCTCTTGGTCATGTCCATCCTGGAGATGGCAGTTCTCAGCCAAGGTGGCAAAGACTCCCTGGTCCCTGTCTTTGCCTATCATGGTAGGAACATCTTTTGGGCTGAGCTCTTCTTGGGGCGAGGCAGGCGGGTCCTTTGTCTCTTCCACAGCTGCAGGAGGGTCAGGAGATGAGGCAACTACAGGGCCAACTACCTCCTGGCTCTGTCGCCTTTGTAGCAGCTTGTACTGGGCAGCAGCCTGGGAGGAAGAGTCACAGATCTTGATTCGGTTCATCTGGCTGGGCTGTGGATTCCACACATTAGGGTCAATGATGTTAATGTAGCCCAGTATGTCACTGCCAGGCTCAGGGTCTGGCTCTACCCATGTGGGCAGGTAGTCAAACATGTTGGCACGCTCCATGTTCAGCAGTCCTGGGTGGATGGGTAGGGGCTGCTCTAGGAAGTCACTAGGCCGTTCTGCCAGCTGGTTCCCCACCAATACCTTCCCCTTGCCATCAAATTTCTTGCCCAGCCCGCTCTCCTGCTTCTCAGAAGAGGCCTTGGCAATCTCATCTGCACTCTTGGCCTTCACCAGAGCATACTTAGGGTTTATGAGTTTCTTGGCTACGGTGCCCGACGGAGCCAATGGGATGACCGTGGGCAGGATGATAGGTTCAGGCTCAGGCTCCTTCTCCATGGGGACCGTTTTAAGGCTGACACTTTGAGACATGAGGTACAGCTCTTGGAACTGTTTGTCAAACATCTCTACTACTTGGCCTGAGAGGACAGAGATCACATTCCGGTCTGTCCTGGCTGCTGACCATGTGAAGCTAGAATGGAAAGGAAACAGTTAGTTATCTGCATGGAGATATATCTAAATGACTAGGCACTGTACCTTTCTTTTATTTTGCCTCTCACTACCTTCTCTATGTGCCAGGAGACCTCTTTGTCAGTAAATAGTCCAAGGTCTTGGAGATGGTAAGAAAAATCTCTATTAGAAGGGTTACCCTCCTGCAAATAGTTCCCTTTTCAAGGAAAATAAGTTAATATTAGGGGAAGAATAAAGGATACGGTTTAAATTTATTTTGGTATTGAGATCCTACACCATTAGAATAGGACCCTTAGAGGTCACCTAGTCCAATGAGTCAACAAGCATTACTAAGTGCTTACTATGTGCCAGACACTCTGCTAAGTCCTGGAGATACAAAGAAAGGTAAAAAAAACATGGCCCCTGCCCTGAAAGACCTCATGTTCTAACACAAGTGACAACATGCAGATAACTACATACATACAAGAGGTATACAGTGCATATGGAAGGTCATCTCAGGGGAAGGTATTAGCATGGAAGGGCATGGGATAAGAAAGGGAGAAGCCCAAGACAGAGTTGAATTTAAAGGAAGCCAGGGAAGCTGGGAGTTAAAGGTAAGAGTGAGAGTAGCGCCGCCATAGTGGACAGTCAGGACAAATATTAGGAATCAGAAAACCGAGTGTGACAAACAGCATGAAGACTGTGCAACAAATAGCAAATAGGCCAGTGTAGCGGGAACATACAGTGAACAGCAAAAATAGCCTAATCAATGCCATCTTATAGATGAGAAAACTGAGGCCAAGAGAGAGGGAAGCAGTTGACTAACATCACACAGGGCCCAAGTCCTTTCACTCCAAATCCATCATGACCTGTACTAAAACCCCCTCATTTAAAAGAAAGGAAAAGAGGTCCAGGGAGGAGGTGGGACTTGCTAGTTCATCAAAAATCTACTTTGTGGCAGAGTCAGGACTAAAACCCTCTGAACCACATTGCTTATGTACTTCCCATGGGGAAAGCGAGATCAGTGGCAGGGGTGAGGGGAAGTTGTCCCCTGGTATCCTCAAAGTCCATATAACGAGAACTTCAGCTTGTCTTTCGAGGGGCTCTGTAGGGACCCATGCTCCCTTTACCATGGTGTTTGCTGCTGTTCGCATAAAAATCACATCACTGGCTCACAATCACAGTCTTCTCAGCTGTATGGCAGAGGGAGATGTCAAGAACAAAGAATATTTGAATAGATCTGGCAAGACTACTGTGAGCTGACATCCTAACTGTAAAAGTGAATTATTAGCTGGGACACCTCAGCTCTTCTTACTGAGCTCCAGATCATCCCCGTAAGGACTGGATAGAGCTAGTCTGACTTTCCTGGGCCCCTTGCCTATGGCAAAGACACAGCTAAATGAAGTGAAGCACCTAGAAAAAGAGAATTGAATTCTAGTCCTGGAACGATTACCAGCTCACTGTACAAGCTTGAGTAAGTCACTGTAACTTCTCTGGGCCTCAGCTCCCTCATCTGTCAAACAGGGACAACAGTTAAAATCCTGCTTCTTTCACAGGGCTGTTCGAAGAATTAGCTAACCATGTTGGTGGAAGTATTTTCAAAGTATAAATCCCTACACAAATGGGAGGGATTCCTCAAACAGGCCTGGAAAACAAGGAATACTTCCCCCTTCCTTTCCCCTCTTATTAATCTGGGAGAACACTAAGTACATGCACCCACATCCCATATCCCAGAGATGTGGTGCAGATGATGACAGAAGGTGGGCTACTCAGGAGAAGACGTGGCATCAGCACAAAATAAGAATCAATGTCTGGAGATGGTGTCCAGGAGCCAGGCTTGGCTGGTGGAGCTCAGACATCAGCAACTTTAAGTAACTGGGATGCTTTAATCGAGACTTTCCCAGGATAGGAACGTCTAGAGTGTTGCAAGAGCAGATTAACAGTACAATGAAAGCCTGGTGCCAGGGCTCAGGCTGAAAGAACTAGGGTAAGTAAGGAAGAGGGGTAAGGAGGAGTTGCTGCGACATGAGAAAGCTCATCTGTCCTCAGCCCAACCTCCTTGTCAGTAGACACTCCCACCCCCGATGCTAATCTTCACATCCCCTCTCACGCTTCTGTAATTTTGAAAAACTAGCTCTGTGAGAAGCGGGCTCAAAAAATTAGAGGAAAAACCACTTGGGGAGAGTCACCTGTAGGAGCCACACATGGCTCGATCGCCATCCACAAACATGAATTTCTGGGCCAGGGCTCCCTTAAACTTGGTAGCGGAACGTGTGAAAAATTCTGTTCCTCCAGTGCTCCGGACTCTCAGATTCTGTGGGAAGAAAAGAGAAATTGAGATGGTGAATTAAAGGTCACCTGGTTGATCCCAAAGGCTTTCAGATCAAATGAGAGAATTAGTATGAAAGGGATTTGAAAAGCAGCAAGTACAGTATAGATACCAGGCTGTCAGCCCCACATCGAACAGCTCTTGTACCTGTTACTTTCTGCCTCAGCCAGGTAGCCAAAAGAAGGCTTTTGATCTATTGGCACGACTGTCATGTGAACAGAACAAACAGCATGATAGCAGGAACAGTCTCCGGCCTTATCAGCTCCTATCTGGATTACTGCAATGGCCTCCTAGCTGATCTCTGTTTCCAGTGTCTCCCTTACTAATCTAGCATGGGTGTATTATTGTATTAATTTGTTCCCCATTCCTCTTCCACAATGTTACTCCCTGCTCTCAAACCTAGAAAGGTTCTTCAAGGCCTTCTACAATTTAACTCCAAAGTTACTTAGTTATGACCCCGAGCAAGTCACTTAACCACTTAAGCCTCAGTTTCTTCATCTGTAAAATGGGGATAATAGTAATTGCACTTACCTCCAAGGATTGTTGGGAGGATCAAATAAGATATTTGTAAAGCACTTTGCAAACTTTAAAGCACTCTATAAATGTTAATTATTGTTATTATTAGAAAATCCCTCCACCAATGTATCTGTGATATTATACAGCTTGTCAACTCACCTATAACTTATAGTCTTAGAGCAGCCTGCACAACACACAGGCTGAGGGCCACTTGCAGCCTACCAAAGGATTTCAGTCGGCCCAGA